TTTTGGGACACCCTGTATATAGAATATTGTATATAGAATATTCTGTACATAGAATATTGTATATAGAATATTTGTATATAATATATTGTATATAGAATATTCTAGCTTTGCCTAAAAGTTAAAAGACACTCGATGTTCCAAATATTTTAAAATATCCTGAAAAGCATCAAATTAGTAGCTGAAACATTTGAAGTCACATTCGAGTCACCATTACTGACAAATTTAACGTCAATACATCTGACAATTTAAAACGTCACGTTACCACTAGTCACATTAAAGCAGTGGTCACCACTAGAAGGTTCACTGTTAAATTTTGACAGATAGATTAAACACAAAAATCAATCTGGCAAATAGTTTTTCTATTTTCCACCTGATATGATTTAATCGTGAAGACAAGGCGACGATGTATTTCGTCCTCTCTGACCGTTGTACTATTTTATCGAGCTGAATCATGTTATAAATTGGGAAGAGGAGATACGATTATTCGAGCCTTGCTTATATTATATTATATATAATATATAATACAATATATATATCGAACTATGAAAACGGGTCACAAGGCTCGAACAATCGTATCATCTCTTCCAAAATTGTTCACTTTTGGGCGCAATTTGAGTGCGAATTAGGGAGAAATTACTGTAATTATCGCGGACATCTTGCAAAAGAGAAAACGTTCTTTCTGTGCCTTCCTTAATTAATAAAAGTATTCATTGAAAGTTGTACAGAGTAAAGTGAAGTTATTATTTTATTCCCGTAACTAATTATAATTCCAACATTCACCTTTGACTATTATTTAAATCGATTCTGAATTATATTATATTTGGTAAACTCTCCGATATCATTTGGATGCAGATAGCTAGACTGGAATGTTCTCAGTTTCCACGCGATATCTACTTTTTCAGGCTGATCACGCCGCGTGCCTACCAATTAACCGGAACAATCGAGCGTTCGTTTAATCGGGCTCGATCACGTTCGCCGAATAGTTTGCCGGCTCGGTAGAACCAAGATCCGGCGGAATAGCGATATCGCTCGGGTGCGTCCCTTGATCTACGATCCTCCAGTCGCAATCAGGCCGGATGATCGATGCAGGAATGTAGATCCATCCTCGACCCGCCTCCCCTCCCCGTTGATCAGCCATCATTGTTCCCGGCACGGAATTTTGAAATTGAATTTGAGTTTGTTGCGCGCAGATTCGCCATTGATTGGAAACTCGCTGGCTTCGCGCCACGTGCATCGAATGTCGCCCGAAAATATCGGCCCGGTTGCGCGGAACCCGAAAATATGTGCATTTGTAACACGAACATTTATTTCTCGCGTTCGATGCACCGCAATCCGTGTTTGTTCTAACGCGGGTTCATCGTTCGCTTTTTGAATCCCGAAGCTTTACCATTGTTCCTGCAACAGCGATTGCAGACCGGTTTAATGCAATCTTAAATGCATAGAACGCATAAAAATGCATCCGTGGGAATTGTAAACACGCTACACTCTTCCATCATCGATAATAATCATCGACTTTGTTGTACTCGACTCAAGTGGCTTGTTGTTACGGCCATTTTATAAATAATAAATAAAGGAATACTTCTTCCAACGATGTGATAAATAGACTGCGGATTTTATGCATTTATGGTTGAGATGAACAGCGAAATATGAAATTCTGAAGACATAAGATCCATTTATTAAAATGATTGAGAGAAAGAATTTATGTTTATTTCACTTCTGTTCCTTACAATCGTCCTGGACAGATTTTATTATCCATAAAGATCCGCGGTCTTGTAATATTTAATACTCTGACTAAAATATTTTGTGTGTGATTTATCGTAAATATAGATAGTATTACTTTAAGATAAGTATCAAAGGTAAATATTCAATAGGATATTTTCACCATACTTTATCTTATAATTTTAACACGTGTACTGGTGCATGAAAAAAAAGTGCATTCGTTCGGCTTCAAAACGCGCGCAGGAAAATGTCATTCGGTCAAAGTGCAACGTAGATTTCGAAGATCAAAGCGAGGCATGCCATTCTATTTTGGCTTCCGAAGCTTTCGCAACAGGAGTTTGAAAAGCTGCGAGAAATATTTGCTTTCGAGTAACACAGCCGAGCTCTGTTTCCATGATTGTAGCGGCGAATTCTGATTTGACACACAATCGCTCGAGCGCGGCGATTGTTTCTTCGATAGATGCGCCGACGAATGCAACAGCCGGAGTATAAATAATGGCGCGATCGGTCCGAAGTGCGAGCAGGAAATTCTTGCAGTGAAAGTCTTGCGATTGCATCGTTTTTCCGAGAACCGAAGATTGCAGCCGCGGATGCAGCGTCGTGCCATTTCGTTTGCGGTTCTGTCGCGGAACTGTACCTCGGCCGCGTGTTCGCCGATTCAATGCGAAACGAGATGCAGTCGCGAAGGAACACGAACTGTTGTGCTCGCGAACTAAATGCTCGCACGATCGTTCCCGCTAATGGTATCCGATTATAATTAGCATGTAACGCGCGCTTGTGTTTCTTGTTCGCGCGGATAAACGATCGTTTGCTCGATTGGGCAGCTGCATTGTTCCGGAATGCATCGGCGCGCCGATGGAGAGCTAATGGCTTTATTAAGAACTATTTCGAAGTTCCCAGGACGATTCGCAACACCGATTCTCTTTGCGGAAATCATTAATATCATAAATCGACCGCCGATGCATCGCTTGGATCGACTGCATCGGTTGCAGCAAAGGCGTTGAATTGATGTAATAGCGTTTCTATGTTCTATGAATATATTATAGTGTTCCATATTTCGCTCACTCGCTTTTAATAATAAGTATAATAATAATAATCATAATAATAATATTTATCATTCCATTGCAATATTATAATATTTATTATTATTATAATATTAGATTACAACAAATTTAAGATTTACAAACCACATAAAGGAAGCAAGAAAAAAGTAAAAATAATAATGATGATAACGACTATAAATGAAGTAACCTTAAATAAATGATTATAAATAGAAAAAAGATATGGAAAACGGTAATTGATAATAATTTTTTTTTATTTAGAGCAATTTTAATCTCTCTTGAGACTATTTTGTATGATTGATAATATTAATAAAAAATAATAATAACATTAACAATAATAATTAAGATGAATAGCATACAGCGGCTATAGAAAATTGTCGAGAAGATGAAAATGAATTCTTAAGAAAATTAATGATATTACAGGAACGGTTCGCTAGATGGTCGTTGATCTTTATGCAAAATAAAAATTGTTTTGTATCAACTGCATCGAAAGAATTAAAGAAAAATGTCTGGTGACAATATGACATATGTACAATGTAACGAAAATAATTATACAATACTAATGAAGAAATAGTAACAGTAATTAATAAACTGCGGATTTGTCGCATTTATGACAAAAGCGAGTAGCTCAAGTTCAAGACAGCAAAATCATTTGAAGAAATTCAAAGAACTTTTTTGTAATCATGTTCGACTGGCTGTAACATGGCTCTTGTATCATACAACTCGTGTATACAACTTTTATTCTTCATAAAAGTCTGCAATCTATTAATTGAAAAAAACGGTTCCACATTGAAAAGTGAGATTGGCTCTCGATTTTCGAAATACTATTGCGAAAACCTGTTCTATATTCCGAGAGAAAAGGTTAAACGAAAAATCGCGAATCTCCTATTGTTCGGTGCAATTGAATAATCGATCGGGCCGTGGATGCGATTAGATGAAGCGTTTCCGGGCATTTGTTTCGCGCGAGATGGAATAATGGCGGACGATTTGCGCGTGGAAACGCGCTCGCTATTTCGGAAATGCGTCTAAACGAATCCGGCGTATTGAATTCAATGGTAATTATAGTTCATTTCCGTGCGCCGGGAGGGAGAACTTCATCGTCGCTGATATTGAAAATCAATACGCCTAAATTAGATCGGAAAAATTCAACTCGTGCGCCGTCGAGCGCCCGAATTGCAATACGTATCAAGGTCCACGGGGCTGCGAATACAATCCGAATTATTGGAAATGTATACAACTCGTTTGTTCGAACTGGTCGAACTTTGATTTACATCGGGTCGCTCGAATTACTTCCATATCACCCTCGTCCAACGACTGTATCGAACATTCGCGAGAATTATTTAGTAAGCGACGCGATACGGTCTATGTAAAAGTATTCGAACACCTTCTAAAACGCTGTAACTGTTTTAAAGCTGAACTGAATGACTTGAAATTTTTTTAAATGTTAAATGAACTATTTTAGCGTACGGTGACTAAAATACTTTTTTTTTCAATTTTGCTATTGCTTGGAGCGACAAAGAAAGATTAAAAGTTTCATCTTTTAACTTTTTCTACCTGGACCTATAACGAAAATTTTAAATGATGCATTTTGTATATTTCGATAACTTACATGTTTGTTGAAAATTTCATCGAAATCGGTTTACCTTGTTATGAGTTAGAAGCAATTCAAGATTTCAATCAAAGACAGATCATTCTTACGTGTCTCACTGGCTGTAGAACATGCGTCAACCGATTTCAATGAAATCTTCGATATGGAGATAAGTTATCGAGATCTGCAAAACACAAATTCCTTCAATTTTCATTTCAGTTTCGGATAAACAAGGTAAAAAACAAGAGTTTTCGATTTCGATTTGTCATCCCTAGTAACAACAAAACTGAAGAAAAAGGTACAGTCCCTTTAACATCTGAAAAAAAGATTCAATTTATTTGATCCAGTTTGAATAAAAAACAAGTTCATGCATTTAAAGGGCGATCGAGGGCTTGTAGAATATCGAGCAGGTGTTTAGGCGCCGCGGAAATTCGCAAACATTGTTTTCCCGCGACGCTGTCGTCGAACGTTCCGCAGCATGTCGAGGTCTCTCGGCTCTAAACATTCAGCGTAGGTTAAAGATTCACGAGCGGTTCTCGCGGGCGTAGCCGGGGGCGATAAATTTTTCAGCGAAGGAAGCGAGGTCGGCGAGCGTAGGGTTGTTTTTATCGAGTGAAATATTTTGTTCGCAGCTTCCGGATCCGGGTCGGTGATAGGGAGGGACCCGCTCCCGCCGAGGGCAGTCAGCACGTCGCAGCTGGCACAGAAAACACAGTCGCTGTCGCAGGCACAGTCGCTGTCGCAGACGCAGGTACCGGTGCAGGTACAGGCGCAGACACAGGCGCAGACACTGCCGCCGGCACCGACCGGCGTGTCAACCCTTCCTCTGTCGAGGGGCAACGCCTCGCACAGGCAACCCCTTCCGCTCCATCAGTCCACCCCTCAGTCGGTCAGGCAGTCGGACAACGATATAGCCGTCAACTCGCAGATCCTCAGGGCCGCCAGCATCGCGGACATCGGCACCAGCTCGCCCTCCATGTGAGTCGAATTTTTCACAGGGTTGTTTATACCCCGCGGTAATTGCGGAACAACGGGCCACGGAACTAGACAAAATGCACCGTACTGTTTTATGCTCGATGCACCGCTGGCCTTTGGCGATTATGTTTTCAAACTTTTCTCTGTACAATTTTTAATTAGCCGGTGCAGGACAATTCTATTTAATTCGTATTTAAGGCGTCGTGAACCTGTTGTTATAAAAGGGAAACGTCCTTGGGAGATCCACTGATTTTAGAAATCGAATCTTAAAAATTGAATTTGGGCAGCAATGATCAACCTTCTATTATCAATAGAATGTGGATTTTTATGCAAATTCACGTTTTCGAAAATATTTTTGTAGAAAGGAAAGAATCTTGAAGAAGGAAAGAATCTTCCGCGTCAACTAGAAAATTTCTTAGGATGAATTTATAATAGCGGTGCAGCTAATTTTTGTTTATATAGACATTTAACTGTATTTTCAAAATGTCTAAGTGCCATAAACGCGTAAAAACCTTTTAGGATTGTAGGGAACTTATGTTAGGGACTCTCTCTCTCTCTTGGAAGACATTAAATAAACACAGAGACTTTAAGAAAAATGTCTTTCATCGAGAAATGCGAAAATAAATCAAATAAATGAGCTATTAATTTTTACGTCTGCAGGTTGAACAGCAGCGAAGGGAACCTGAAGGACCTGAGGCTAACATCTCCAGGCGGTCATTCCACTCAGCGACTGATCAGCCCGGCTGGACCTCTAAGGGTTGTTTCTTTGAACGACCATCGAGTCTCCAGCCCTAGCGACAGTGACATAAGAGTTCATAGTCCAAGTATGTACACCGTCTCTTCCCCTTCTTTCTCTTCTAACACACTCTCGTCCTGTCGTAAACATTTGCAATTTTATCGACGAGGAACAGCTTTTATTGAATCCTTCGTATTGGTCAGAAGGATGCGTTTGAGAATGAAATCGAGTTTCTGGTTTCTGAAGCGTTCTTGCTATCGAATTCTACGTAGAATATTCTAAAGAAAATGTAGATAGAATTAGCCATCGAAACACATATTAGAAAATATTCTCTCATTCGATATTAATTAATACTGCTTCACCGAAATTCTAAAAAGTACGACTTACGAAGTGATTCTTTTAAGTCCACCTAAATATCTCTTCGGGCTATTGCGACGAAAAAAATATTTTTTGCGCAATGTGTACGGCGTCAAAGGACTAAAAGATGGTAAGACCATATTTCCCCCCCCCCCCATAATTTTCTTCGGAATTGCCAAGATTATCGGCGTGTTTTTACATACAACTACATTTTTTCTTGTCGCATCGTGTAGCCGATTTAAAACTGCATTTATATACGAATAATAAAATGATCTTGATCTTCGAAAATTCAAGTTTTACGTAAAACTAATATCGAATGCCTTTGATTCGAAGATTCTTGAATCCACGAACGTGAAGAAATATTTTTTATCTCGTTTAAAACATCTGTCACCAGACGCGTTACGACGACCACTCGCTTTCACTTAAATTATCATCTTCATATTTTTTCGAAATATCAGAAAGTCGTACACTACCTTGCCGCAGGCTCGCAATGTCTAAAAAAGTAATGAGTTGCTTTAACAGCGCAGTCGCGTCCGAAAAATTCGAAAAAAAAGGAAGCGAACCAATCGGCAAACGAGCCGGGTGAATGAATCTCGAAGATTTGATAGCCTAGACCGAGCCGGTGCCAGTTTCCGCTTTGAAAAGGACGGCGGAAGTTCGCCGCGCTGTTCCGGTTAATTATTCAAATACCCGGGGGGCGAGGGGTGGGCCGCCGCGGCATAAAGCGGCGCGAGGAATAATAGAAATCCCGCGTGTATTCAGTCAGCACCGGCGACGAACCTAACTTCGTTCTACCGATGTCTCGCAGTCTTCGGTACATGCTCGCGACGGGAATTAGGGACTGCTCGCGCGTACCACGTATCCGGCCGCTGCCGACGATACCAACTTTCTTCCCCTTTGGAAGACGAAGTTGTCAGTCCGGCGAGACTTTTTGGTATCTCCATATTCGCAAACTCTGTCTCATTTTTCGTAATACTGAATTATCGCCTGACCGTGCGCTTTATTTATCGACTTGAAAAATGAATATAGGGAGTCATGAACCTGTTAGCGAAATGAGAAAATTATTTCACAATTAGCAGAATATTGTGCGACTTGAAAAATAGGGTAGATGTCTCAATTTCTGTGCCTTTGAGCCAATTTTTTCTTTTTCGACGCAGTCGTTAAATACTCAAATTTTTATTTAATGCGCTAAAAATATATTTCGATTTTCAGTGTTAGTTGGAAAAATATTCTTTTGATTGACAAAAGTTAGTACTTTAATAATGTTTTTAAATAAAATAAATGTTTTTAAATGAAATAAAAAAAGCTATGTTCCACCCCGTAATTCTATGTCCGGTATTTCTATGTTTGTCCATAATACGGACATATTCTGAAATCGAATCTTACTTCTGGATTTATTTAAAAAATATAAAAATATACATAGTACGTGTCTTTTTTAATCGTTGTTAGTACTAAATGGAGCACTCTTACTATATAATACACATTTTGTACAACGTAAATCACATTAATAACTAATTTATGCGAAAATCTTCAACAAGCATTTCTTCTGATTTTTCAACAGTCATGCTACTCGTCGGAACTGCTATAACATCAAATATATACTAAATTTTGCACATAGAAAATATAAGATAAAGATAAATTATATAAATATAAGATAAAGATAAAGTAAACATAATAAAAATATATAAATCATCAATTTACAAATAAAATCATTTTTTATATATGATTTTAATCCAGAGGCGCAGGAATTGGGACATCTATCTTACACTATCGTATTTGAGAGAGTATAGAATCTTTGCAAAGCAAGAATCGTTCGCATAACTTTCACGGTTCGAGCAAGAAAATTCTTCAAACTCTCAAATCGTAGACATCCGCTTCGGAATAGAACAGATAATGATGGGAAAAAGTGATTTACACATTTAGTGCGCCGAGGTCTGCGAGAACCTTGTCTAAACCAAGGGTTATCGGAACGAAAAATTGGTATGGGACGGGGACAACTTTGCTGGCCCCTCCAGTTTAATTTTCCTCTGTTTTGAATTTGTTCCAGTCGAGAGGAAAATGGTGAGCCCGATCGGGCGCGAGGTGGACCGCGGCGGAGGCCCAATGGCTCGGCAAAACCACCGCGGTGCATGGGAGTGCAACGAGCTGCTGCATAAAAGGGTGAGTGAAAGACACGTTCCGCGCGATGGAAACCTTCGAGTTGATTGGCATGGCGAAGCATGAAAAGAGAAAGGAACCGAACGCAGCGACTCCGGCCTCAGCTGATTAGCCGCTTCTAGGTTTTTTTTCTAGCACCGTGTCCCCCTCCCGTCACCGTTTGCTCACGACACACCCTCCCACACTCCTCTATTTATACGTGCTACACTATATTTTTCACGCGCGTGCACGTTGTTGACACGTTGATTGCCGTGTCTCACGCTCATAGCCGACAGACTCTTTTGTACCGGCTTAGCGACATTGTTCCATTACGATACGTTCACGTTAATCAATTTTTCATAGGGCTTGTGAACTGCCGAAAAATTTGAAGCAATTATTCCTAAGATAAATTCGATTTTTCTAATGATAATTGTTGCGGATTTTTGTGCGAAATATAAATTGTTCGCATCGATTGCAAGGAGTATAAATTAAACAGCAATTTCTGTCTTTGTTTATTAAACTTAATAGATTAAAAATGACACGTTGGCATTTCTCAATTCTTTGAATCTTTCTACTATTTTTCAGTTGAATCACTCAATTTTGGCTTAAATGGATGCAATCTGAAGTCTAATTATTATTAACCCTTTGCACTCGATACTGCGACACTATACATATAATACATTCATGTCAAAGTGGCATTTCTTTTCACGGTACTTTTGTAAAAAACGTAGATAAAAACACAAAATCTTTTATTTATTAATTCTCACAAAATTTCAGTATTACGATTTTTATTTCGATTCGACTTTCCATAGCAAAATCACAGATTTTACAAAGTTTGCTCCGAGTTGCTGGTTAGGAGAATCTTAGGAGAATCTTCCGAGTGCTAAGGGTTAATTAAGTTACAGTGATTTTCTGCGTTACTTTGGAGAATAAGAGCATTTATGAATGTGTTATCAAGGACATCATTTTTAAATATCTCCAGAAGATATTTCACTTTTGTTCTAAATGCATCAATTGCGACAACGATCATTGAAAGGCATTGACAGCATAGAGTCCTTTCAAACAGGCAAAGATTTTTCGGTGTCGCGAGATGACAGTCAACCGGCAGTCAACATGTTAATGCGACACGCAACAAGCAAGCAAGCAAAGCAAAGCACGTTCACCCGTACTGAGTTGCTCGTGAGTTTTGTTCGGCGAGTGTGCAGTAGTTCGCATTATCGTCCCAGCATGTAAATTCCATTAGCCCAATTAATTAGAATGTTGCCCGGGGCTAACCACCCCCGTCGCACCGTGTCGTCCACCTGCTAACCAAATTAATCGCGTTTCTGCGGTCCGCGACCGGATTCGGAACGACACCGGCCAAGAACTAGACGGTCCGAGAGTTTCCTCGTTAACTCTCAGTTGATCAAAACTTTTTAAGAACATTTCAAAATGTTTTTTCGAGAGAAATATGATCACAGATCCATCGGAAATGTCAATAAACATTCTCAAGCCCTCGGTATTCGTCGCATCACAATGTATATCTTCGATCTAACGCGTTTCTATAATTTTTATATAAGCTGATAAATTCCATATTTTCTTCGTTCTTTTATAAGTTCCATAGTGCGACGGGATTTCCTATACGCGTCCGACGTACGCAACGGAAAATAATGCTTTCGTTTTCTTATAAGATCAAACGCATTTTGGATAATTTCAACGTTCACGTAGAAAAGTGTCCAAAGAATTATAAGAATTATAAGTTGTGTTATATCACTCGATCTAAAACACTGCCTATATGTCCCCTCATCATTCGGTCAATGTTTTCTTCTTAAAACGTTTCTACGATCCTCTTTATCTCGCTTTTTGTGTACGTATACATCTTTAATATTCTCTCTTTTCCCTATCGTCGAAATTCTCGTTACAATTTCTTCGTTGTCTTCTCCTTTTCACAGTAACGAAAGTGCAAATTTTCGATCCATCACGGAATGTTATTTCTCTAGTTCTAACGCTGTTCTATCTGCTAGACGGCAATACACCGAACAACAAATGCATCGTACATAAATCATACACGAAGCATGCGTCTGGTCGCACGCGTCCGACGCCAATTGAAAACATCATTCGCGTGCGGTCGTTGCGTCTAGTCGCAAGCGGCGAACGCATACGTCCAGCCGTTTACGTCTGACGTTCGTAGGAAATTCTACCATTGGCACTGCTGCTTCAACGACCGACGAGTGCGAAGTTCGTCGCAATCTCAAACGCAGAGAAATCGATGCAAATGTTTCTACGGAAGATAACAAAATTGTTCTATGCGGAACTGATCCGTGAAGAAGTCTTCCGGCGATTTCTCTCTCTTCCAAGCGAATTTCTTCCGATAGATATTTAGGACAAAAAGATAACGTGTCACCCCATTTCGAACCTCAATTTCTCGAGACACGTGGCAAGTCTCGCAAAAGCTCGATGCGAAATCGATGGCTGTGCGGGGATTTCGGCGCGATCCGAACGGCTCGCGAGATCCGTTTTTCGACCGAAGATCCCCGAAGACATAATAGACGTCCAGCCCCGCCCCCGTTGCTTCAGATTTGCAACACGTTCAATATGCGAGGGACCCTCTGAAAGCCATTGAAACCTGACCGTGCGCCAGCGGCGTCTCTGAAACCAGGTTGCAAGCCCGCGTCGGCCCGCAAAGAGCGAACATATTCGATTCAATCGTGTTCGTTTGAAGCCGGGCGCTCGGTTGTTTGATTAATGAGAACCGGGGGCGGCTTGTCGCAGAAATTCATTAGCATAAACGGGGGTCAGGGAAATAGAGGGAGGAGGGGTCGGGTCGGGTGCGCGTACCGAGTCGAGGACGCTCATGGAAATCCTATCAGTTTCAATTGTTAATATTCCTGGTTCGGCGGCTGGGCCCATTCTAATTTCGTTTCGAGACAAGCGTCTATGGTTCCGGACCAATCCACGCAATTTAATAGCGTCGGATGGCTAGAGACGCGGACAGATTTCGATGGTGGAATTGCTAATTAGTATAATATGGATGAAGAGATACATTTCGGTGCTTAGGACAAATGATTGCCCTAGTAGGTAGGTATGATGATTTAATAGGAAGAAGATCTAATGAAAATTCTCGTCATAGAATTCCTGGACATTTTGCCCCTATTTACTACGGGGTGACCGATTGCTGCGCCATTGGTTTGTCCTCGAGCACAATTAACTTAAATGTACGGAATAGCCTGTATTCAATTATTTTACTCTTTCATTTTACTCATTTTTTAATAAAAAAAATGTAATATGTCTTTTTCGATGAATATGGAGTTAATTATTCCCAGAAACGAATTAAGGGCATAATTGGTCACCCCACAGCAACTGGCTCAACTAACCAATGATTTTTGGAACTTCGACAATCGTTTACGATGATTCAGAACGACGCGATTTAATAATTACGTATATCGTTGTATCTGGTACACTGTCCACTGTCATTTAAGCTTAGGCAGAATTTTCTAACAATTTTATTTATCAGGCCCTACTCTATTTTCATGAAGATGACCATAGACAACTCGAGACAACAATAACAAATTGAGATTTTGAAGTTTCGCTGCCAACTACTGCCAGTCTACTTAGAATTTCACGATTATATACAGTGCTGTCTTGAGCAAACATTTTCTCATTATTCAGATTTAGATAGCCAATAGCCAATTTCTTGGCGCCGATCCACTTATTCAAAAAGTCGTATGAACTGAGCAAGGATGATCCGATTACTATTGCAGATTAACATTCGCACTTGTTGGTTATCTTATTTCATCTCCAGTAATTATTCAACTATACTTCTTGTACGCATCATTCCAAAATATTCAAGGAATCGTACACTATCGTATTCTGTAAACTGTGAGCCATCGTAAAACATGTGGATCTGAAAATTGTATTAATTGAATGATTCATCATTCTACCTCCGTACACGCAAAAACTATCGATGCGGCAAATTGCACGGTAATCATTTTACCAACCTTCATAATCGATAATATCTTCTTTCGTGCAATTTTTCTTCTCTTTTTCCCTTCGCGTTACCTTCTCTTGTACTAAACGATTCTTGCCGCGAATAAATGAACGAGATGAAATCTCTTGCACGATTTTGTACGGCGTGTCGTCGCTTTCGGAGACGTTTCTCGAGTTTCCTCGTAATATATCGAGCCGAATGCGCCAAGCCAAAGGCAGAGACGCAATTTCCATGAACCACCGCCACACAGTCCGGTAACACGTTGTAGTCGTGGCTCGATGGTACAAGGTTCGAGGACAGGGAACCGAATCGCCTCTTTATCTGGAGGCTGCGGGACACGCTCCGGCGAGAAAGTAACGACACAAGTGTCGTCCTCCCGCTGTCGTTGATTGCAACGTGTGCGGAGAACAGAAAGCTGGATCCCCTGCGCCAACGGAGAAGCAAAAGGAGCCCGCAGCGAGACGGCGGAGAGAAAAGAGACTTCCAGAGAAAGACAGGGACGGCGGAAGACGAAGCGAGTTGGAGAGAAGTGGCCGAAGAGGGACGAGAGAGGGAAAGAGGATTAAGAAAACCGTGGGCCAGGGTCGATCCTGCATACGGTCAGCAATGGTCAGCAAGGGCACCGTGCCAGGGAACTGCAGACGGTCCTTAAGCTTCCCTCACAATGGAGCTTTGTCCTGGAGACCGTCCGGGAACCGGAAACGTGCTTAGCCTCTTCATTTCCCGCTGCCGACGTCCCCACTAGGCTCTTCGGAAATAAATTACTATCTTCCGATCTTAGAGCTGTTCTACGTCAGGCCATTTTTAATCGAGCAACGTGACTTTTGGAACGGCGTAAACGTTCCTGCATCGTTTAGTATCTTAATTAATCTTTATCATGAGTGGACTGCGGATTTTTACGCAAATGCACACCATTTTAGAAAATATATCAATGAAAGCTGAACAGAGATTAGGTGGCAATTATTGATTAACATAGGTTCGGCCACGATTAGGTGATTCCAAAAATATATTTTTTATTTTGCACGCGTTGCATGTGTTTCGCATATTTTTGTTTGAA